ATCACTGATCACCTTGCACTCTCCCCACTAAAACTCCAGTATCATCTCCAGCTATTTTGTTGCAATTCTTTTAGTTTTTGGAATTTTTAAATATAAACTTTTATTGAAATAAAATACATATAAAGAAAAGTGCACAAATCCTGAGCATACAACTTGATGCAATTTCAAAGAGTTAAGAAACCAGTATCACTGACCCCTGAACAATGTGGAGGTTAGGAGTTACAACCTCCCATGCAGTCAAAAATCCATGTCTAACCTTTGACTCCCCCAAAACTTAACTACTAACAGCCTACCTTTGACCAAAAGCCTTAGTGATACTTAAACAGTTGATAACACATAATTTGTGAAATATGTATTATATACTGTATTCCTCTGGTAAAGCAAGCTAGAGAAAAATGTTAAGAAAATTATAAGGAAAATACATTTACAGTATTTACTGAAAAAAAAAATCCATGTATAAGTGGACCTGTGAAGTTTAAACCCATGTTGTCCAAGGGTCAACTGCATAATCAACATCCAGGTCAAGCAACATTATCAGCACCCATGAATTTCCTTTTGTATGCCATCCTAGTTTCTACGTCCCCACAAGAGTAAACTCTATCCTGACTTCTAACACCATAGGTTAATTTTGCTGATTTCGAACCTTATATATAAATGGTTCATTTAATTTGTACTATTCTGTGTCTGTCTTCTTTTATTCAACATTATATTTATGAAATTCATTCATATTGTTGCATATGGTAATAGATGTTTATTCTTGTTGCTATATAGTAATCCATTAACATGAATATATTACACTTTATTTATACATTCTATTGTTGGTGAATATTTGGGTATTCCCAACTTTGGTTACTAGAAAAGAGTGCTCTTATAAACATTCTTGGACATATTTCTTGGTGAATATGTTATTATATTTTAGTTGGATATATTTCAAGCACTAGAAATACTGGGACATAGAGTATATGTATATGTTTACTTAAATAGATACTGTCAAATCATTTTCCAAAGTGGTTATACCAGTTTATTCTTCATCCAGTAAAGTGAGAGAAGTTTTGTTGTTTAAAACTATCATTTAGGTATTGTGTGTCAGGTTTTATACCCTCAAACATTCTAAAAACAAAAAATGCCCTGACAAATTTCCAAAGCACCTTTTAGAGATAGAACTCTCTACTGAGCTATTTGAATTCCTTTTAACATACTTTAAAATAATTCTACTATTATATGAGAATAAAAATTATCATATATTGCACAATATATGAAATCTAACTGACTGAAGTAGGAAAAACTATCTGTAGCATAATCATAGTATTTATAAGCAAGTAATCATAGATTTATGAAATATCATGTTGAAGAGTGTAGGTTTTGGATCCTGTCTACAAGGTTTCCAATTCCATCTCTGGCATTTTGCTAATTGTGTGACCTTGAAAAAAATCACTTAGTCTCTCTGAGTTTTAACTTCCTTATTTGTGAAATAGGGATAACAATATTTCCTACCTCGAAGAATTGTCAGTAGTTAAGGATATGACTTTTTAACCTCTTGCAGTATTCAAAACCCTGGTTTTATTCTCAGACATCTGAATTGTTTCTTTTCAGCCACTTAAACTTAGGATGTTATTTAATTTCTATGTGCTACCTTACTGAAAATGGAATATTAATAGTACTAACCTCATATAGCTGTTGGAAGTATAAAATGAGTAAATATATATGTAAAAGAAACCATAATCTTGTGTTTGGAATAGATCTGCCAAAGGCTACTTTAATTTTTCTAGCAAGTAAAATTCCCATTAAAAAAATAATTTGCACATTATTTAGAGAGAAATTTTAACTATACAAGATTGGCAAACTCTTGCTTTTTATAATTTAAAATGCTTTCTTATAATAAAGGTATTTTACAAATTCTGCAGTTAAAATATTGCACACCTTGTGACTGTCTCATATTTATAAGGCTTATAGTCAAATAATGACCATCTTAGAAAAGCGCTTTTTTTTTTTATTAAATTTCTCATTAAATTTCAGGAAATATTTGAGAATGGTATTTAACCATAATAACCAAGTGTAACACATTTAAAGCTGTAATCTCCTCTAAGGCCTTTGCCTGGCCTTACTAGGCTCTAATCTCACCTATATTCCATTGTTCCTGGCCTTGCAGGGATGTAAATACTCTCCAAACTTATAGTTCTTACCTTAGGATCACCGTAGCATTTCCATATTCCCATGTACTTCTGTCTACCAGATCAACTCTCCTTTTGCATATGGCTTCTTGTCATTGAATTATAACTGATAGCTAAGGTCAAAGTTTAAAATCTGTATTTTTCACTTATACTAAATGTGTAACATTTAGTTACTTAGCACAAAATAAATCTTGATAAAATTTGAGTCCTTATTATTATCACTGCCCCAATTATATTAGTGCCCCCTTAGAGAACTGTAGGGAGAGGAAAGATAATAGAGGAAAAAAATGACCTAATTAAATTCCAATAAATATATGTATTTATTATTAATTGGTCAGGATACTATTTGTATCCTGTAATATGATGTATTTAGAGTATAAGATTCTAAGATTTATATCCCAGTGTAAACTCTCCAGGATTACATACTTTAACTATCTGGTGATTTTAGTCAAAGTCATAATATAGTCAAATCAAGGTGGAAAAGTTAGTAAGATTTTTTTTTTGCATTCAAATTTGACTGTCTTCTATTTTATTTAAAGCTGGCTATAGAAATAACTGGTAAGAATTTTTATAATCATGTAAGCAAATCTTTTTAATCCTTATGTAAATTTAATTTCTCTCAATTATCTTCTAATAATGAGACATTTATATATTTTTGCAAACAGAATATTGGTATGTTTCATTGACATTTTATGAGTTCTAATGTGCACTTCTACAATCATTTCTGTCTCTACATGATACTAATTGGATCCCTTCCAAAACATATTAGGCTATTTATACTGTTTGTTGTCTTAAAATGTTACATTTGCCAATTAGCTCCCAAAATCTTTTTGTTTACAATCATTAAATATACCTCAGCACTTAAACTTTTCAGTAAATAATAAGGTCCTTCTTTTGTTATATTTGCCAAATTTTGCTAAATGCCTTAGCAAAGTTAAAAAACCAAAATATTGAGTATAAATGAATCAAATTATAATTTCTTTTCTTGTTCCAAGAAAAATAAACTTGGCTCTAGAAATTATGCAGTGACTGAGGAAACAACCATATGGGGAGGAGAGTTAGGAAATTGGGGTGAGAAAGAATTCTAAATGTTGAGTAATAGGTACTTTTCAATATCACTTAGGAACACAATGTTTCCCCCTTGTAATTTTAATATAATATATTAAAATATTTTCTGAAGAGGAAGCAGATATAAGTACCTGAGGTTAAAACTGTCTTCACTACTTTTTATACATACAATAAAAACTCTCTGATCAAAATATGTATTTCTTTTTAGGATTTCACCATACGTTTTTATATAGAAACAGAAATGAAACTACAAAATACAAGATGCAAATTTTGTTTAAAAACATATGATATGTTTTTTAGACATAGAGATTGTATGTACTCTAATCTCTTCATTGTTATTTGACATCAGGTAAATACAGTTTTCTTCTTATTGCTATTCTCAAAAATCTTAGTCACACCAACTAATTCCATTGTTTCAGCTATTAATGCTATAATTTTCCATCTCCAAATCAATCAACATTTGCCTCCCTATCCTTCTATTTATGGAAAGACATATTTTTCAGTGAAGACAAGAACTGTGTTATGAGAGTGTTGGAATCTCATTTTCTTACAGTCAGAATCAGCATTCTTTCTACAAGTAGAAGTGACCATAAAAGAGCAGTCTGCTGCAAAATTATGACAAAGATTAAATTGGTCTTTAGAATTCCCATTACAATTACATCTCTATTCCTCTATTAGATTTCTCTCCTTAAGAATGTAACATAATGTTCATTAAAAAAAAATCTGATCTCTGCATATGCACACATAATGGAATATTACTTGGCCATTAAAAAGAATAAAATGTTACCATTTTCAACAACATAGATGAAACTCGAGGCCATTATGCTAAGTGAAATGTCAGATACTATATCTGACAAATACTATATGATCTCACTTATATGTAAAATTTAAAAACATAAGCTCACAGATATTAAAAACAGATTGGTCATTGGGGGATGGGGATGAATGAAGGGGCTCAAAGGGTACAAACTTCCAGTTATAAAATATATAAATCATGGGAATGTAATGTAAAAAAAACCCTTCATTTAATATTCTAAAAATTAACTCGATCTCCCCATTATTTTACTTCCTATTTCTAATATTTTTTAAAAAGGGCATTACAGACATTGTGAGAGGGCTGTTTATTTTCCAGATGCTTAGAATTTGTAATAAAATTTAGAAAACATGTAGTCTTCTCTCTCTGTACAAGAACTTCTGATTGTTAGATCCTAGTGGGTTGGCATCTACCTTTCTTACTCATCCTGACATTCCTCTTGTTTAGCTTCTGTGCTTGGAACATAGAATCAAAAGTGTGGTGTTATCCTGAATAAATGTGGCTGATGATCAGCAACCTAGTGCTAATGCTAGACCACTAGGTTTAATCCTAGTAGACCACATAACATGCTATTGAAATCTTCTGTTAATGTATTGCACCTCCCAATTAGACTTCAAATTGCTCAAGTGCAGGGAACTTGTATTTCTCACCAACTTGATAACTCTCTTATCTGTAAAATTAAATATATAAGTATTTCAGAGTAAAGCGTGAAGAGAAAAATGAGATATCTAAATTATATAACAGAATTAGGCTGCTGGAAAAGCAAAAGACTGCTAATACGAAAGCCGGGTTAAAACTGCTTGTTGAGCCTCAGGGGAGCTTTTCTGCTCGCAGGTTGCCTTTAGCAATTTCCGAGAGCGCCCGCCCCGCAGTCCCGCCCACGTCCCCGCCCCTTGCCACGCCAGGCTCCTCACCCGCCCACCAAGTACACAGATTTGCGTCCCAGTCGGCCTGCTGGCACTTAGAGTCCTCTTGCCTATGCTCGCGCTTGTGCTGCCTGACAAAAATACGGCAGCAAATAACTGCAATTAGAGAAAAATTAATTCCATAGGATCCACATATTCTTATCAGAAATACAGTGCAAAATCAGTAACTTTTTGTATTTTAGAGGCTCCGCCTAGTGTGAACGTCTGAGACCGATTTTCAGGCAGTGTCTTGGACAACAGCAACTTTGGAGGTCCCCGGTTCGCCGAGGGTGACGTGGACCTGAGCGCGGTGGAGCGGTCTCCGGCACCGCGGCAGAAGCGGGGTTATCACGGGGCAGTTGGTGTGTGATCTCTGTCCTCACTGGCTCCACCATGTAAGTGTTTACCGACGACCGCCCTACTCCTTGAACCTGCTGCTGCCCGACCTTCACTCTGACTCTTCCCCGCTCTCTTTCTCAGGTCTAAGGTCTCTTTTAAGATCACGCTGACGTCCGACCCGCGGCTGCCTTACAAAGTGTGAGTAACTTGACCGCGGTGAGCCTTTTTGGTGGCGGAGCAGGTCTGGGCGGGGCGGATCCGGGCCTCCGGAACTACGCCCACCCTAGTGTCCTAAAGCCTTCCGCTCCCTGCGCCTCCGCTCTCCGAGAGCCTCCCCGGTCCTTTCCTGTCAGCTGGCCCTGGCGCGGGGTTGCGGGGGCGTGAGGGGTGTGTGTGTGACCGGAACGTTGCTGCTGATTTGGTGACCTCCCTTCGGAACTCATTTGGAGTAGGACGACACGTCGACGGGCTCTAGGGATTACTGGAACCCTTAAACAGCCCTTGTCAGCTCGTGATTTACTTAAAGTATTGTTACTGTCAGGCTTCTTATTCTTGTGCGTGAGTGACTTACCATCAGGTATCACAAAGTAATGAGCCTTAACTCATATCTTAACTATGTTGGGATTTAGCAAAGAGCGATTAGTAAATGGGAAATGCAGAAATAGGGCAGTGTATTCATGCGGGGCCTTTTATTATCCCCTAGCATTTAGTACGGATATAACCTATATCTTACTTAGATTCTCCATCTGAACTTTCTATGATTGTAGATAAACATTGAGATTATTGCAGCTGGAAGTCATATGAAAGGTAGCAAAGAGCAGGACTTCAGTAGGATTTTATGCATAATATTAATTAATAATAAATAATTACTATCATGGCCAACCTAACTGAACTATAGCAGCTGTTACCAGTCTCACAGACTTAGCTGTCTGTGACCCATGCAACGTCTAACTTTTAGCTTTCTTGATGGATTCATCTCCTGATGAATTTCCTTTCACGTTATTTCAAGTAATTGCTCCACCTGTAAAATGTTATTTTTAAGCACTCTTATGGATAACCACGTTCTCTTATAGGTGATTTACTCTAATGTTTCTTCTATAAAAGTATTCCTTTTAATTCATGGATAGGATTGCTTTTTTAATCTATCACTGCTCTCTCCCCCATGCCTTACCCAACTTCTTTCCTTTCTATCCAGCTTAGAGTCCATGGTCAATCTTTAAGTCACTTTCTTGCAAACACCCTCAACTCTGGTACCCTCCTACCTCCAATATATTTCACTCCAAGAGCTTGGTGAAACACCAACTCTGAACTCAACCACTGAGTTCTCTGTACATACATACCTGAATGTCCCAGGAGAAAATTACACAATTAAGCTGATGGGTTTTACGTAAAATTCATAACTATGCTCAGTAGTACTCAACTTTGCTTGTTTATATCCTCTGAAAGGATTTTTTTTTTTTAAATTTATCTTCACATGTCTCACAGTTCCTTTCCCCAGTTCTCTCAATCCATCAGAGCAATTCTTTCATCTTTCCATCCATATCTATACACCTGTGTAATCTCTATGACCCTGTTAGAATGGAAAATGTGACTTTGCTCCTGTGAACAGCTAGCTGTATCACTTGGGCTCTGGATCTCATTTTTTCAGTCTTGATAGACTCTAGAGATATCCCTCTCCTCAGCATCTTTGATTCCTCCTTCTTACTGGATTATTCTCATTAATGTGTAAATATACTTTAGAAAAAAAGAGAGAAGGAGGGAGGAAGAAGACAGAGTAGGACAGCATCTGTATCTATAAGAGTGGCTGGAACATTGTACCAGTTCAATTAATATTGGTGAGTGAATGAATTTAATAGGCATACCTATTGTTTAGTGTGTGTGGTTGTGTATGTATAATCTATATATGGGTATGTGTGTGTATAAATATGCATAACATGCGTACCTGTGTATATAAAGGTAGCTATGCTGTTTCCTCTTCAAAGTAAGTAGTAACTACTACTTGGGTACTAATAAAAGCAACTCAAGATTTGTGGGGAAACATGCTTTAACTTTTTAATGTCACTTTTCACTTGTCAAGAAGGTAAACATATACTTTGATAGAGAAACTTCATTTGACTTTCTAATATTGCTAACAGTTGAATTGTAGGAAGGATGTTTCAGTTCTAAATGTATTGTGTGCAATGTCAGATTTTTCATTTTTTTATGATTTTGTTTATTGATATTGCTACAGTTGGTGTTGCTACTATATTATAGAAATGTTTAAATCAAATATTCTCATATGTAAAGGATGAATTAAAAATACCCTTGGCTCTTTCAGTCTATTTCCAATCTTTCCAGTCATAATTTCTAACTCTTATTCTCTTCCCTTTCCTACTACCATCATCACTTTATAAGCTTCAACCATCATATTCCAGAATTGACAAGAAGTACTTTCAATCCTCCCTGCTTTTACACATGTTCTTTTCTGTGCGAGGAATGCAGTATTGTGACCACCACTTCTTGCCAAACAACACCCTTTAATAATCAAAATTTCACCTCTGAAGATGTCTGTAATTGTCCAGGGAATTCACCTCGTCCTTCTTCAATTTCCTATAGAAACTTTGTTCCTTTTCCTTATAACAGCATTTGTCAAGTTATATCATAGTTCTGTTTATAAGAAGTATATATTTTAAAAAAACAAATTTTGCCAGTAATTTATTTTAAAAATTCACTTTAATATATGGAATAGTTCTCATTTTTTAAAAACACTAGTATAATGCATAAATGCCAAATTTACAAAATGTGACTGGCAAATACAACAAATGACAAATTCAAATCTAGATAAAGTCTATGGAGTCACAATGACTCCTAGTCCCTCTGTAATTTTCTGCCTTATAGAACATATATTAAAAAATGCTTTTATTTTATGTTTAATTGGATTATCTTTGGACAGTCTCACCAATTTAATATACAAGTAGAAACTTATTTTAATATCAATATGATTATCTATTTATGTGTAACAGGGACATTTCCATTCTCTAGTTCAAAAGTGAATTGAAAACCTAAGATTTTAGAAGTTGTCCTTTTGAGGACAAGTTCTAATACAGTGAATCTAAACTATAAATGTAATGCAGAAATATTTACAGTGCTGTTCCTTTATAAACTATTACATTGCCAATTTATTAGATAATCTTTAGACAAATGACTACCCTGTGATGACAAATAAGAGAAATTTTGAAGAGAAATGTTAGTTTGTATGTCTCTCTTCCCTACTTTGAAAAAGAATCTGTTTTTCTTTCTTTATTCATTGTAATATATTTTGCATTAGAAATATTCTATTTTTTATTTTACTTTTTTAACCTCTTCCTGTGCCTTTAGGTGTTTACATTGTTTGTTTGTTTATTTGTTTTAGAGTATAATGTCAATTCTTTTTTAGTTTTTAAATTGGAAAATTCATAGATTTGACCATTTATTAATAGTCTTGAATATACTTGACACCATACAAGTTAATATCAAAATCATGTGTCGCTCTTCAAAATGTTATTTCGGGTTGTATTAAGCCCTTCGTCTAAAGATGATGTGAAAGTTTTGTGGGAAATGACTTCACATTTTGCTATAGTTAATGCTCATTTTCATCAAGTCGGTCTACTATTTCAGACTTGGTTATTAAAAGTGCACAGAAAAGATCATTATAAGATTTATGATCTTGTGATATTTCTCAGGTAGCCTTCTTTTGTAATGAAAATGATGACATTCTTCCTTTGGATGAAAAGGTGTTTGGACTGGAGGTGGTAATGTGGACTGAAGACTAAGGAGAGAGTCAACTTTTTGAAATCCATCTCTGGAAGCAAGTCCATATGCTAGACCTGTTTGTACCAACGTATTAAAAATATATAAATCTGCACTTGTATAGGTTGTAAATTTTTAAGTGGAACTGTGGGTACCATATCAGATATAAGGCTAATTGCTTTTTTTTCATTTTAGAGTTAATGAGTATAGTGTGCAATCAAAATACACAAGCTTCAGACTCAAAAGATAAATTTGTTCAGGTCTGCTGAAATAGCCAATATAAGAGACAAAGAGCTTTTAAAATATCAGCTTTTAATAAAATCAGCTTTTTAAAAAATTCTTTTTAATTCTTCTTGCAGACTAAGCGTTCCTGAAAGTACACCTTTCACAGCAGTCTTAAAGTTTGCAGCAGAAGAAGTAAGTGTAGAAATTGGAACAACCTGTATAGAATGCAGTTTGGCAGTGTATTTCAGAAACCTTTAAATTTTGCATGCACTTTGACCCACCATTTTCATGTGGGTTCATGACTAGGTTTATGCTATCAAAAAATTAAGGTTTACTTACGGATATAAGTAGAACGAAAGTACTGACAAATATAAGAAGAATGAATTGGCACATTTATTCAATCCAGCCATTGAAAAGTGTAAAGAAAATTTTTATTGAAATTAAAAAGGTACAGTCATATGTAAATTTTTTAAATAGCAATATGTCACTGTAGTTTACTACAGTAGTAGTGAAAAAACTACTACTGTAGTTTTTACTACTTTTGATTCTAGAATTACAATTTAAATATATTTTTCAAATTTTCTGTATGAATATGGGGACTGTTAGTAAAATTTGTTTTTAAAAGTGTCTAGTTTTTTTAATGTTTGGGTTTTCTGTTTTTATGAAATAAAAATTTTCCATCTAAAATTATTATCAGAAGAATCTAAAAAACAACTCTTTGGATATGACACTTGAAAGAGTAGCTTGAGTGGAAATGGTACCCAAATGCGACTTGTTAGACTTAGGGTTCCTATTTTAAATGTGTCTTTAACTATCTGTGTGACACGAGCAAGCCTCTCAATTTCTCTCTTCCTCAAAATTCTTAATCTGTAAAATGGGAATGTGTGGTTAATACCTGTCCTTTCTATGTAGTTAAGTGATTTTGAGTAAAAATATAGCATCTACTGAAATCTTGTGAAGGTAAAAATGTTGTATTACAGAGTCACTGAAATCCAAATGTTTTGGTTCACAATCTTTAGAAAAGTTTATAGTCATGGAAAAATAATTTTGGTAACTAAGTAAATAAGAAGCCAGCTTAACCCGCAGTCCTCTGTAGATAAGTGATTAATGGAAAAATCAGCCAACTCATCAGCACTCATGTAGCCCCTTGTAAACTATTGTCAGGGACTACCGACATAGTTTATTGCTCATTCAGAATTAAACTGGAAAGTGAAAGGTGTTTTATAGTCAGTTTTGATCTATTCTTTGTGCAGAAAGCATAAGTAAAAAGATGGGAAACAAATCTGAATACAGCATCATCATTACTTTTTGCCACACCGAGCACTTGCAAGAAATATTCCTGGTCTGTGGCGTAGCAGATACCATAGTTTTCCAATTTAAGAAGTAGATCTGTACAAGCTATAATTAATATTTATTATTACATTTTATAGTTGTTTTTAGTTTGTCCTCTGTAAAGCAAAGGCATTGATCTGATCTTGGTCTTCTACTGCAACATAAGAACATCCTAACAGACCCGCAATAGAAAATAAACTAACAAACTTCATACAATTACAGATATAAGTTTTAATAAAACATATAACTATTGTGAATCATGGGTGTTACACATTTAGAAAGGTTACGACTTTCAGGCAACAGTGAGAAGGCCTTTCACAAGATGACATTGTAGAATCTTTCAATGATAACAAGAGTTGACTTGACAAACGCAAGAGCCTGTGGATTTAAATCCCTAGTAAAATCCTCTTAATAAAAATAATAAAACTCCCCAATACACGGCTAGGTTAATTTAACTAGTAGTGAGTTGTCAAAAGCCTGAGAAGAGCCCTCTCTTCACATGCTAAAGTATAAGACTTAGGGATCTGAGGAAAAAACTAAATGAAAACTGAGGAGCATAAAATACATTTTGCATTCAGGAGAAAACTTGTCAGTATTGTAGCACAAAAATAATAGGATATTTTACATCACTAGTGATGCTTCCCCAAATCTTACCTTAATCATTGCTTCTATATTCGAGAAGAGAAAAATCCTATCAGCAGTTGCTTTTAATTTTTAATGTTCATAAAATATGTTGTCACTATATGGCTGTGAACAAGAAAATACTTAGCTTATCTTAAAATGGACATAATCTAAGGATAAGTAATTGTTCTTATGCATAATTCAGTTCTTATTTTAAAATGTGATTCTTTGAATCATAAAATAAACGTTTGGTTGTTTTTATCAACTATGCATATGTGCCCATCATAAAATACCTAGAGCAGCATTTTCAAGAGTATTATTCCCACACTACTAGAACCACCAAAAAGAAAAAGAAAAAAAAAATTCCATGAAAAACTGTGATCAATGGCCAAAAAGTATGGGGAATCTTTAACTATTTCCTTCTTGAAGTTAAATAAACTGTATTAGCAGCATATTGAAGGATTTTAAAAAGAATACTAGTGTAATTTAGTGTTTTCTAAGCTTATTTGATTACAAAATTTACTATAATATCTATAAAACTTGTCATAGTATAGAAGTGCATAATAAATATTTATTGGATAAATTAACTGAAGACCTGAATACTCTTGGACAACTGCTAGTCTTTAGAGCATTAAGAGAAGAATTTTACCTTTTAGCTGCCAATAAGTTCCATACTACATTTCATTGATTTAGAAAGCACATCTTTTTACAACATCTCTGAAAGTAGATCAGTGGAGTCTTACTATCACTTTGCCATCTGGCAGTCACATAATTGTCTAGCTGACATCAGCAAATACTTGAATTCAGTAGTTAGTTCCCGGTAACATAATTAGACTGTTGCCATCCCGTGATATTTAACTCAGCAATACATTAAAGGAGAATTTGAGGAAAGAAGATGAGCCTTTTTTGGCCTCCCATTAAACACAAGAGAGCTATTGTTTGAGCTTACTATGTCTACGAAGAAATTTTAGTAATATTTTAAGAAATTGATTTGCTTTTATTTTTGCTTATATAACATAATTATATATGATGAAAGTAACATGTCTAAGTCTGAAAGAGTAAATATTGAGTTTGTCATAGAGTCATCAGTAGTGTTTTTTGTTTTTATACTATGTAAAATAAGGTGCATTTTGCAATCCATGGTGTCCTACATACAGTGAAATGTATTTAGAGAATATTTTTTTAAAGCAAATTACGATAGCTTTTTTTGACGATGTTACTTATTCTAAAAGATAAATCACATTTTAGAATTATAGAATTGATTATATGTACACCATCTTTGCTAAGCTAACCATCTTTTATAGAGTATGTACGTATACAAAATTAGTTTTCTTTTTCTCCCCTTTAGTTTAAAGTTCCTGCAGCCACAAGTGCAATTATTACCAATGGTAAGATTTCATTTTAAAACTATTTATTATCTCAGAACTATATAAATTATTTAAAAGATTTCAAATTAATTAAAATTGACTTAAATATAAAAGTCCAAAATGTATATCAACATACATGATATGCATAATTGTAAACACTGAGTCAAAGTTACTGTCCATAATTAGCTTTTTTCAGTTTCTTTGGTATAACATTTTGTAATATCTTATGTCCTTATCACTTCATTCCCTATTATTACTGAAAATAACTTTTTTCTTTTAACAAATTTTTTTT